AGGGGGAGAAGGGAGGGAGGGGGAGGGGACGCTGTGAGGGGAGGGGAGGGGTTGGGGGAAGGTCGCCGTTGCGCTGCTGCAAATCGCAGCAGCGTCGCTGTGACGCTGCTGAAATTCGCAGCAGCGTGACGGCGACGCTGGCTCACCAGAGGAACGGCAGAAGCTCTCGCACCAGGGAGTGGAGGGAGGGGGAGGGGGATGGGGAGGGAGAGGAGAAGGGAAGTGGCGGGCGGCAGCGGCGGCTTCAGCGGTTGAGAGAAATGAAATGAGGTTTAATGGATTAGGTTAGGGTTTTAGTAGTAGGGTAGGTAGTAGGGTGGGTATAATATATTATTTTTATTTTATAACATTATTATTAATTAAAAATAATAAAACATGATTTTTGATTAAATAAAGCCAAAACCTGATTATTAAAAAGTTAAAACTAAACACCTTGTTTATGGTAATTTTCTCTTTTTGTAATCTATGAAGGCCCATTGGGCTTTGCTTATTCAACACCCAAAATGGGCCAAGTTAATTGAAATATACTAGCACTATTTGGTAAATAAAGCTTGGCCTAACACACTACTTGGGTTTTTCATTTTTTTTTTCATCCTCATTCCACAAAAAACCCTAGCACCGCCGTTTGCTTTAGATCCTAGCTTCCTGGTAAGCGACTGCGCCCTTCCACGCCTCTCTACACCTCCCTCCGCCACCCACATTAACACCGAAAGAGTGGCAATTTTTATGTGTGTATTTGTTATATCTGTATTCTGTATGTTTGTTTAAATGATTGGATCTTAGCTGCGATTTAGAGTTTCAATAACTTTTCCTTTCCTTTGATTAGGCTTGTGTTCATTTGAATCTTTTCAAATTTCATCTCACTTTTGTTTGATCTTCTCAAGTCTCTTATTTTCTTTGCAATTTTTCGAAATTTTGTTGAGTAATGGGTACTGTTGTAATTAGTGTCATGTACTTATGTGGTGTAAGAAAATTTATTTCTTTTTAGAATATTAGCGTATAATATCAGACCTTTGATTTTGCCTTTTAGGGTACTGGACGAATTGTCTGGTTTCAGAAATTAATCTGTAGGTATATAGAACCGAAATGATGGGTTTTCCTGTTTTCTTTCAAATTTTGGGTTTCTTTGTTAAATTTGTATTAATGGACATAAGTGGTTTAATCTGATTAGTTGATATTGTGCTTTTTATTTATTTTTTTGGCTAAGGATGGCTGGTTTATGAGCTCTTGGTTACGACTCAATTATTTCTCGCTTTATGAAAATCTAAATCTTGATGTCTGATTCTTGAGGATTTTCGATTAGCTAGAATAATTTATTTATTAAGGAAATATGCTGATGAGTTGTTATAGGTATTTACTGTTAGATAGATAGATTACTGTGTAAAATCAAACCTTTAATTTTGCGTTTTAGGGTACTGAACGAAATGGCTGGTTTCAGAAATTAGTCGTTAGGTTATATAGAACTAGGGGTGTTAAGTGGGGCAGACCGCTCTTAGGCTCGTCATAGGTGACTGAAAATGAAATTTTAAGTTTAAACAAGAACGACGAGTTGGCTCGGCTCGTCACACCAAGGGGTGAGTTGTGGGGGCGAGTGGAGTCCCACGTTTAGTGGATCTAGCGGCTTGGCTTGGCCTGGCCCATCTAACACCCTATATAGAACCCATAGTTATGATTTTTCCTGTTTTCTTTTATTTATTTATTTTTTGAATTAATGGATGTAAAGGTTTAATCTGATTAGTTGATATTGGGCATCTTTTTGTGAAGGGTGTCTGGTTTAGGAGTTCTTGGTTACTCTCTTAATAAAAATATGAATCGTATTGTGTGAATCTTGTGGATTTTTGATCTGGCTAGAGTAATTTATCTAATACAAGAAGTATGCTGATGAGTTTTTTAAATATGATTGACAGCTTAATTTATAAGCAAAGATGGTGAGAGTTAGCGTGCTGAATGATGCGCTTAAGAGCATGTATAATGCAGAGAAGCGGGGGAAGCGTCAGGTCATGATAAGACCATCATCTAAAGTTATTATCAAGTTTCTCTTGGTGATGCAAAAGCACGGTATATACAACATTATGTACTGTTAAAACTCTGCATTTAGTTTATTTTTTGTTGCCCCCTTTAATCCTGCTTTATTCTTATCTATTTCTCATTGCTTCTGAGATTTAATATTTGGTTTTTAACTTTACAATATTTAGGATATATTGGGGAGTTTGAGTATGTTGATGATCACCGGTCTGGCAAAATTGTGGTCGAACTGAATGGAAGGCTGAACAAATGTGGTGTGATCAGCCCCCGTTTTGATGTTGGTGTGAAGGAAATTGAGGGATGGACTGCAAGATTGCTTCCTTCTAGACAGGTAATACTCTAAAAGTCCCATCTGAGCTAATATGTTCAGGAAATGATGATATGTGAAGTAATGAATGATGTACTAAACAAATGTCTCTTGTATTAATGCTTGTTTTGTAGTGCTTTTAGGTGTTTATAAAGCTCGTTAAACATCATTTTTAACCACATGTTCTTTAGAACCCACAATTTTTATCTACTTTTTAACCACTAGTGTTTTGGACCCGCTACTTATAAGCACTTAAAAGATTTGCGAAACATGCACTTGATATCTAAATAATGATTCGCATCCACTCGATTGATGCAATTTAAGGAAATGACTAGAAAACCATGTCATTTCTTTAGTTTTTCTTCCTTCGCATTGTTTTTAATTGTTGCTATAAACTTACAGTTTGGATACATTGTGCTGACCACATCTGCGGGTATCATGGACCATGAGGAGGCTAGGAGGAAGAATGTTGGTGGGAAAGTCCTCGGCTTCTTTTACTAAGCTTGTTTTGATTCCAAGTTTGGTTCCATCTCTGAGGAGGTTTTTGGTTTATTTTGAGCTCGTTTACAATTGGGAGTAGCTCAAAGTTTGATACAAGGGTTTTTTGCTTCAAATGCTAGTAGGGATTTTGCCAGCATTTTTCGGATGTTATCTTATTGTTATTGATATTTAAATCTATCGAAGAGCGTTTGCCTTTACTTCTGTACCAGTATTGAAAAATCTTTGCTCATCAGTTGAGGTTGATGTAAGAACTATGCAAAGTTGTGCTATAACAATGTCCTAACGCAAAAATCTGAATCACATTCTGTTTAGAATACTAGATTACTTATGATATGTTTTCTTGGGAGGGTTATGTAGTTTTGAATAATATTATGGGCCTGTTTAGGATAGCTTTTGCTTAAATTTATGCTTTCAATACAGAGCTTTGCCCCTGCTTGACAACCATTAAAAAGAGGAAAAAAATGAGTCTTGGAATTGTGACTTTGTGGAGAATGTGTGGTTTAGAAGTAGGAAAAATATTGGGTTTATGGGATGTGTAGTTGAAAATGAGTTTTGAGTTTTATTTTTTAATTTTTGTAAAAATGGTTGTCAAACAGGCAAATTTGTGAAGAAGTAGATAAGCTTTCAAAAAATGTGGAAATTGCACTACATACCCCAATTTATTAAAATATTTATGTAAACCAACACTTGGATTTTATTTTAGAAAATATTGTAAAGTTGAAATATCAATAAGTACTTTTGTCGTTTAATTAATTTTTGTAAGTTGCTTATTCCTCAACCAAATAGGGTGTAAATTTAATCCCTTCTTTATTGTTCAAAATCCCCAAATCAGTGGACGCACATAAAAGTTTCAATCATCCTCGGCAAAAATGGAGCCATAAAATTCATCAATCCATATTTCAAATCTTGTTCATTATCTTTAGAATTCTTCAATCCATACTCTGTTTACCTACCATTTTCTTTACATCATCAATTTTGGGGAGATTATGAGTGTGTTTAGTAGGGATTTTTGGGGAAAGAATTGATTTTTGAATAGCGATATGATCGAAGTTTGATAAAACCACGATTCCCATTCAATAATCCAAATTCGGCTACTGCAATTCTTTCTATGGAGATACAAATCAAATAGGACAAAACCAACTCCTCGTTCTTCTGTGGCAAATCTGAGTCACCGTTTATCACTAGCTTCCATCAAGAACAAAACGTTGATAATTGTAACAACAAACCCTTTGCTCGAATCTGCAATTCACATACCTCATGCAATTTTGACAATAAATATAATCTCGTAACGGTAAACATAACCAAAAAACACAAATCGTAAGGCATTTGCTGATATGATTTTTAATTGTCTTCATTTTTGTTGACCTCGAAAAGTGGTTCCAACACGTGACCAACATAATAAGTCTTCTAGTCAGCTCTTCCCTGCACACGTAGCATGCCGTTAGTCACCCGTGGCCTTTCCCAAAGGGGTTGGGAGTGGTCGCGAGTACTCTGACGTTCAAATCAGTTTAAGGTTCAACCGGAAAAGGTTCACCGGCGATAGGACACTCGCCGGGAAATGGTTGATAAAATGTGTAGTGATAAAGTGCCAATATTTAAGGGAGAGGATGATACTCAAATTTGCAATGTAGGAGAAAATCTTGATTCGAATCCTTCTAGCACAAGGAAGGGACATTTATACTAAGGATGGGAATAGGAGAGCCATTGGATGATGAGACACGTGTTGCCAGATCCTCAGAGCTCGTCCCATCCTAAGTATCAATCTGTCCCTCCATAGGTTAGCTAGCATTGAATGTCACTGACAAAGGCAGCTGAATTGACCGTTTTAGTCCTGCCACACGTCCCATCAGTCAGGGATTTGATTTTGGAAAGATTTTTGTACAATAGATCTTTGATGGGGAGAGGCGATGCAGGTTAAGCGTTGTAGAAGTGGAGTGCGGGCCTTTGCATCCGCAGTATACTTGCGGATGAGTCCTGTTCCTTTGCTGATGCGTGTTCAGTCCATCCTTCGTAATCACTCGGCATGTGCAATCAACTCGTCCCATGGACAATCACCTCTGCAGACGCGTGGCGTGGTGTGGACCACCTTTGCTGACACGTGGCGGGTGAGGTAGAGGGGTTTGACACAGGCTCGTAACAATAGTCCCACAAGTCCATGTATTGATATTTATATAGTACAAGGACTTGTGGTTTCAATTGTGGAGTTGGGACGCATGGGGACGAGCGCTGGAGGCGGGCAGTTGAGTGGCGAACGCCCATGATTTTGTCGAATGTTGATACGTAGTAAAACTATGATGTGTCCGAAGTGCTATGGGTTGGCAACTCTTTGGAGAGCTGTTGCAACGCGAAGCTGGTGCGGCCGAAGCGACAGGAGTTGGCAACTCTAGAGGGAGTTGTTGAAGCATCAGATTCTGCTCTGGCCAAAGTGATGTGGGTTGACAACTCTTTGGAGAGCTATTGCAACGTGAAGCTGGTGTGGCCGAAGCGATAGGGGTGGTAACTCTAGGAGGGTTGTTTCAACATTAGATTCTGCTCTGGCCGAAGTGATGTGGGTTGGCAACTCTTTGGAGAGCTGTTGCAACGCGAAACTGGTGTGGCCAAAGCGACAGGAGTTGGCAACTCTAGGGGGAGTTGTTGCAACATCAAATTCTGCTCTGACCAAAGTAATGCTGGTTGGCAACTCTTTAGAGAGTTGTGTGAAGCGCGAAGCTGGTGTGGGCGAAGCGACATGAATTGGCAACTCTAGGGAGAGTTGTTGCAACATCAGATTCTACTCCGGCCGAAGTGATGTGGGTTGGCAACTCTTTGGAGAGCTGTTGCAACTCATACGAAGTGAGGCGAAGGGCTCTGAAGAGCGCCTTGGGTCTTGTGCCAATGATTTGAAAGCTTTTGCATCTTCCCAAGGCACATCAAGGGGTGCCCACTTGCTTCCAAGACACGCCCCCTTTGCTATAAATGGTAATGATGGCGACGGCTCCCATGCCTCAGGACGACGCGTTTAGGTCATGCGTGGAATTCAATGCCTCATCAGAATCGTTGGTTCAAATGACCTTTGGTTTCAACGAAGATCTTCACGCTTTAGCATTGGACGGTCCAGATGTAGTTTAGATGATCCAACGGATGGGGCGAGCCTAGAACGCCTATAAATGGTCCATCATCTTCATTTTGAAACTTTTACTTTTGCGAAAATCTCTATATTGCTCTGAAAAAAATCCTTGCATTCTCTGTCCTTTTGCGTTTCGTTCTCCGACGAGCGTTCAAAACTCCGTCGAGGGACAAACTGCTGTGTTGAACTAGGTAACAAACGTGTTTCAGTTTCCTCATCTTTTTCTTTAAAGATTTTCCCAAAAATTATGGAATGGCAAGCGAACAATATGTTAGTGCTTCTAGGAGTGAAGAGAGGAGAGGTGAGGGGAGTTCTGCCCTAATGGAACCCATGCTAGTATCCTCTGACGAGTTGAGCAGGGCCATTAGGGCAGGGGAGAACATTTGGAGGCGACCTGCTTTTCCTGTTGACACCTTGGTTCAATGAGGAGCTTCAAAATACCCATCTAAAATCACTAGGGAGGTACTGGAGAAGTGTAGGGTCGTTTTTAGGATCTTTCATAGTATAAAACTAATCATACCCGAGCCCTATAAGAAGGCCTGCTACTTCAGGCCGGGGTGTGTGGCGGTGAGGGTAAACCTACTTAAGGCCGACCTTAAGCTCCCCTTTCACCCATTGTTTAGGCTAGTACTTCGTTCCTATGGGTTGGCCTTGACCCAACTCAACCCGAACTCCTGGTCTCATATGGTAGGCTCGTGAATGCTTTGGCGTTGGGTCAGCATGGGAGTAGACATGCCATTTAGTGTATTTCACTCCATGTTCCCGTCGAAGTGTGTGGCTGGGGGCGACGAGAATAAGGGCTGGTATTATTTGGCGCCTCCCACGCCACTTTGATAATAGGGCTGCAGCCGGGAGGTAGGATACTATGGAGGGCGACCCCATGGCGCCCCTTACTGTTCCCACATCATACTCAACTTATAGTAAGTTCATTTCCTGAGCTGGTTCCACTTGTGCATCTTTGCTTATGGTTTTAATATATTTTGTTTGCAGGCTTTCTTCCGAGGTGCGAAATATCTGAGGAGGAGTGGGACGTAATAATCCAACTCTATCAGACGCCTCCTGCGGAAAGAAGCTTCAAGGAGATCATTGACAAGAACACCCACTTCGTTCTCCACAGATTGATGACAAGCTAAGGCAAACGTTTCGGTTCAGCTCTCTTATGTTCTTGCTCTTATCTGAAAATACTTAGCCCTTTGTGCCTTGTCTGTAGGGGATTTTGCAAAGAAGAAGGTACCTAGGCCTGACTTTGCCGTGATTCGCAAATTAGTTGCGGAGGCGAAGATGTTGAAAGCAAGCTCGGCTACTTACAAGAAGCAGTTGGAGCATTTACTTTCCCTTAGCAAGTTGGGCAGCAACCAGCTGGGGATGATGAGGTGGAGGAAGGAGCCTCTCTCGTGAAGAAGAAGAAGAGAGTGGGCTCAACTATGGCCTCCGCCTCTGCCCCCGTTTCACACACTCCTGCGCCTCCTCTGACTCGGCTCAGAGTAACTGTTGCTGCTGCCTCTCCAGTTCCCAGGCCATTGTGCCAATCACTACATACTTTGTAGAGGGGCCGGTCAGGAAAAGGCAAAAGAGGCCTGCTAATGCCCCGGTTGGAAAAGCCACTGATTTCTTGGAGAGTAGAGATGACGACCTCCCTGAGGCAGTTTTGGAAATGCTACCACCAGAAATCGCCAAGGCCATGTAAATTGGTTTGCTATTTCCATAAAGGATATAATTGACAACTCGAAGGTATGCATAAAAGTATTTGCCTTAAGGAGGAATCCTAGAATTCCGCCCGTTTTCGAATTACTAGATTTTTTATGACTTCCAATCTAAATATTTGCGGATAACTCTTTTTTTTTTTACCTAGAATCCTGATTACTAATTAAGAAGTCTCGGTGGTTTCTTGGTCACGATCAGTTACATTATTTTACCACCAAGGTATCTTGAAAGTGAATCCTATTCCATGAATATGATATATACCTAGTGTGATGTCCAGGATTACAAGGATAATTTTGACAAAAAGCCTGAGTATGATGACTTCGCAAATTATTGGGCCTCCTGAGCTGCCCAGGAGATGATGTCTATTTTGACAAAAAGCCTGAGTATGATGACTTCGCAAATTATTGGGCCTCCTGAGCTGCCCAGGAGATGATGTCTCGCCTGCGTGAGAGGCATCCCACTTTGGACATCGA